CGTGCCCGGCCCAACACCTGATCCAGAGAGAGAGAGAGAGAGGAAGAGAGGGGGCGAGAGAGAGAGAGAGAGAGAGAGAGAGAGAGAGAGAGAGAGATCCAACGCTGAGAGTTGCCTCATAGGTATCGTCCAACACCTTATCCGCTTTGACAGTGTCGTCGAAGTCGAGATGGGAGAGGTGCTTGGGAAGCTCATGTACATAGTTGGTCTAGGGTTAGTGTTGCCCATGTGACGTTTGGTGTATGCATTGCTTGATGCATAGGCCGGGGTTTATCTTCCTTTTAAAAAAATGTGGGGTTTGGTGTGATGTTGAGAGGGAGCATGGCGTCAATGTTTTTTAATTGCGTTCGGTGGCTAGTGAGGACAGCTGCGCCGTTGGTCCTGCTGCGATTTTATGGTGGTGCGGAGGGTTTAGACCAGCCCGAAAGCCATGAGCTAAATTGCCCATTTCGTGATCTGTCCCGTGGCGTCTCGATTGGTGATAACTTTGGCCAGCGAGAAGGACATGACCACTTGGATCGGGTGCTGGTGAAAGTAGTGTACCAGCTTGCGAGATGTCATGAGCACACCATAGATTATGTTCTAAATTTGTGGGTATCGAGCCTTGATCTCGGAGAGCACTTCGCTGACGACGTACTATGTGTATTTTGTGTTGTAGATCTTAACGCATTTTCTATAAAGATGGTCAAACTTAATCAAATTTAACTTAGGACAAATCTAGAACATCAATTATTTGGAACAAAGAGAGTAGATGATATTGAGTCGCACTTGAAGCTGAACCAAAATACTTTCTAGATAACATGCTATGGAATTAACTCAGAAAATGGGAGTAGCCTCACAAACCCTTTCCGAGAAGAAATGTGCAGAATTCCGACATGAGATATGTTAGGCGTAGGCTGAATTTGCTTTTTTTCAACAAACAGTGAAATTTATTAACTCGAAATGAACCATCAAGGGATACAAACACAATAAGTACACACCCAGCCTCTGAAGTTGCATGTCCATGCATGCGTATCACAAAGCTTAGATACAACCTTGAAAAATAATTATCAGGATCGTAAGCCTTGACAACTACCATGGATAATATATATTTGTGGTAGTCTAGCCTAGGTAGTGGATGCAGCAGCTACTTCGCTTTGGTGACGAAGTCCGCTATCGATCGCTTCCTCCCTGTGGCTTATCAAGGTGCATTTTATCACACAAATGGCAAGGACTGTCAACGAAATCCCCATTTATTTGCAGAAGTCGATTGCAGGTGGGCGCAGGGCCGCTCCTCCCAACTTTTCGCTGGAATACTTCTCGTACACCACCTTCAACTTGCTCTCGGGAGCAGCCGAGTGTGCGCTCACCAGGATCATTACACTATCCCTGAAACCATCAGAGAAAAATGTCAGCACCCCTGAAACCCACGAGGATTATTCAAGCTACAAGTGCATGCTTACATTAGCTGTGACTCGGTAAAGCCAGTATGGTGCTTGAGAGTCTCAGTCCATAGAGGCGTCTTCTTGAGTGTGAGCCTGGCTGCATAGACAGCAGCAGCAGCAACCATGGAGGGCTTGGACGGCACCAGCGCGTATTGCAGCAGCGCCAGTTCAGCAAAAAAGAACACCATATTCTCCATCTGCATCCATACATAGAGAGAAACTTCAGCACACAAACTCGCCGCTTTATGGCGCAAAATACATCTGAATTTACATATGGTGGCGTATATGTATTCTTTACCTCCTCGTCGTTCTTCAGCTGTGAGGAGGACGCGGCGGCCCTGGCAAAGCGCGAGAGGAACACGTAATGTGTAGGAACTGACAGGTTCCATTCAAGCGTGTTCAGAATGGCCATCTCCGTCCCCAGTATCTGCTCCCTGGTGTAGACGTCGTTTAATATATAGACGAAAACCTCCACCTGTGCAAGTGTACAATGAACAATCAGAACGCGAACTCATACGCAGCAAAGAGAAGGGGAGAGGCTTTCGTTCAGTCTACTACCTCTGGATCCCAGGCGTCCTCCTCCTCATACTTGCAGGCGATCAGCAGGGCCGAGGCGCATACCATCTGCAGCTCACTTCAAAGCACGGGCTTATGCATCGAGAGGTACCGGTCGATGATGTACACCGTGAGGTAGAGGGTCTCCGGCATGAGCTCAAGCTTTTCATGCACTTTTATTATCCAGTCGACGAGGGCGCCCCGCTTCCTGGAGTCGATGTCCACCTGGGAGTCCATGTAGTCGCAGGGGCGGCACTCATTCTGCAACGGGCAGGAAACATCGACTTCAGGTTCAGAGACAAGCAAAGATATCACAAGGTTTTTGCACACGCTATGTAAGAGTTAATTATGCGTTACCTCGGCAACTTTGTAGAACTTGTAGATATCCTCTATGTAATCCACGACGCCTAGCTGATCGTCGACGTGTAGCTCATCGATGTCTTGAATCCCTTGTAGGCGTTCGTTGGTTGTTCCAGCCGCAAACTGGCAACGCAACGGTGGATCAGACTCATTGCACAGGTTTATGATACATTGTTTTTGAAAAGGAGATTAATGAAACCTAATGACTTGTTTATAACAAAGCTTACAGAAAATAAATACTATAGAAATTTTAATATATAAGGGAAAACTCTCTCCTAGAGCTGTTTAGGTCAAACCACCCATGGTTCCTAAACAAACCCAGAAAGAGAGGAGTTAGCGGAGAGGAGACACAGCTAAGGAAACAACAGTTCAAAGCATATCCCAAGCAAAGCTTAATTTGTGCCCAGCAGAAGCAGAATTAGATGAAGGTTTATGGTACTGGGATGTAAGAAGCCGTCGAAACGAAGTGTTTTGTGACAGATGACGAACCTTAGAGCGTGATGAGGGCATATAGGCGGGCGGGGGTGTTGATCGCCTTCTTCTTCCTCGCGTATACTTCCGGGCGCCGGAGCTGACGCTGCCCTCCGACTGCTGCCTCGCGCTCGCGCCGGAGTGGATGAAGTGCTTAGGGGGAGGAGGGGCAGACAGCCTTCCCACAAGCTCTCCTCGCCGCAGGTCTCTCGCGGCCGGGTTCCGCCGCAGCAAAGCGACGTCGTTCCGATTAGCACGAGGCCAGGTTAAGACTTCAAGTACGCTGTCCTCCGACTCCTTGGCTCGCGCTCACGTAGGAGGCGGGGCTGATCTCGATGACGGACAGACGGAGTCTTACATGAGCTCTCCTCGCCGTAGGTCTGTCGGAGCCGGATTCCTCAGGAAAGCGACGTTCCGATTAGCACGAGGCCATGATAATGCTCCAACTTTGACCGTCAGTTGATAAAGGGTAAATTCGTCGTATAAATGTTCCACATATAGCAATTTTCACCGGCTTTGCCGTGGAAACGATTTTTTTCCCCACTGAATTTGATTTCATATTCTTTTTTTAGATGGATTTCATATTCGTAATATATCACGATTTAGATATAGTTGCACGATGCGAACTAATCTGTGGTTGGATGGTTAGAAGGACAGTGGTGTCCCCGGCCCACCAAGGTTAAGTCCTGGTGCTCGCATTATTTCTGTATTTATTTCAGGATTTCCGGCGATGCGCTTTCAGTGGAAGGAGACGTTCCCGTCGACGACGAGGCGCCTACGTGACTTTGTAAATTTCAAGATGGCATGCCGGCTCAGTCTCTCGGAGGTGCTCATATGGATAGGATGTGTGTGTGTGCGTCCATAGATGTGAGTGTATGCGTGTATGTATGAGCGCTTGCATC